ATTCCGCCCCTCCCTCTCCTCCAGTCACCTCCCTCCCCCTCCGTGTCTCTGAGAATGTGTACCAATATCTCTCTCTCTCCACTGGGCCACCGTATCTCCCACTAGTAGAGGTGGGTGAAGAGTCGATTCCGGAACCGATCCCCACGATTAATGCTACGGAAGAAAAGTTCCGACTCCTTTTTGCGAAAACCAACGGTTACCAGAATCTTTTCTTTTAAGAATTTCTTTTTGAAAAATAAAAGTTGATGCTTCGTAGTGTCCCAAAAATCAAGGTTATCCTAAATCATGATGTTCGGAGCCAAACAGGTAACCACCGGAAGAAATCACATCATTAGAAAGTAAGTAATTGGGTTCGGAGTCGAGTCCTAAGATTCCTAACTTTCAATAATCGGGAACCTAGCAGCCGCCCAGCACTACCTCCCACCGTCCGCGTTGAACCTGACGGGCAAGGCTCGACGAATCCCGTCTCCTAAATGACCTAAAATTGTGTCATTGTGGACGTTAAAAAAAACAGTTACAAAAATTACAAGGAATAGATGCTCACGATTAAGATTCTATCTCACGTGGGTCTCCAACTTCCAAAGCCTTCTGAGTCTTGACAGACGATCGTAAACCAGTGTGCATGGTACAGCTTTGACATAACAGCAGACATTGAGGAAGTTGTCGAATAGCCCAATAACCACTTCCCACCCTTTAGATCTTGACTGACTTCCTTGATATGCTCTAAAGGAGAGACCTCCATCGTTTTAAAAAGGCGTAAAAACAAAGAATGCCACCTGATATCCCCCCAACCACCCCCAGACCACCCCCAGACCACCCCCAGACCACCCCAGCCACATCACCGCGGGGCACAGCGTTCTTGTTGCACCCGGAACTATACACGAATTTCTCAGCTCAGCCTCCACAGAAAAAAAACCAAATCCGTTTTTACTTCTTTTTATAATAAAAAATATTTTTCCTCATTAAACTTCCCAGATTCCCCGGTTTTACTTAGGCGTATCTTCTTTCGAAAAAAAGACAGTTTTCTTATATCTGCGTGCATGTTCAGAAAAGATTCTGCAGCAAACCAAATAGAGTTTTAATAAGTATGTTCCTGATAAAATACATGTACAAGTATTGAAATCAGATGAAGCTTTCGAAAAATCCAAAGTTTGAAATCTCCATACATGAATTCGAACCTAGGCGTCTGTGATTCCAACTGCTTTGCGCTCTGATAGACGCAATGTAGATCCTTTAGGAAGCGGGCTGTTTGATCCCGACATGTCAATGCAAATCCTCTCTGAGAAGTATACAATGTCCCAGCAGAAAGCTGAAGCTAAGCTTTTGTCCTAGAGTTGACATGGTGTAGTAGTTAGAGACGCAAGTCTTGTCTGTGCAGCTGTCGTGAGGCCAGAACTACTACGTGACCCCCACACCCTCCCTCAGTCATACAGTGACCCCCACACCCTCTCTCAGACATACAGTGACCCCCACACCATCCCTCAGACATACAGTGACCCCCACACCCTCCCTCATACTTGAGACATACAGTGACCCCCAC